GCATCGATGGTGATGGGCTGCCTGTTTCCCTGCGCCATCACCTTTCCCTCCCAACAGGGCAAGGGAGGCCCAGGAGCCTGTTGGATTAAATGGCACCCTGAGCCCCGCTTCCTCGGGATTTGGGAATTATTTAAGAGGCGGATTTTAACAGTCCCAGCTCCAAGGTGAGGAGTCACTGTCTATTTTTCCGGTCACAAGCCACATGAAACATAACGCATTAAAAAGTCATCAGTGGCTGCTGCGAGGGACTGCTGCACTCCCCCGACCCAGCTGTTGCCATGTGGTACCGCATTCTTAAAAAGGCTCCCTCTGTCCCTGGCACCAACTGAGCGCCTTTTTATAAATATTTGGAATAAATGAATAAACTGTTGAAATTCCCCAGAAGGGGAAGGAAACATTTCCATGAGCAACGTGGGGCAAGCGTGAGTCATCAGGTAAAACTTCTCAGACTTGCACATCTACAAATGGTCGGCAAATATCTAAATCAGGAAATCACCTCAGAAAGATGGTAGGTGATTTATTTTATTGACAGATAGCAAAGAACTGACATACAGAAAAGAAAAATCTCTTAAAATGTCAACCAGCTTATCAAAAAGTTAAAGCACAATAAAACGCGGAGGTCATGGACTCCAGCGAAAACCCTCCCGTGAAACACAGTAAAAGCACAAACATTAATTCTGACATTTATACTTGCAAAAAGGACATGTAAGAATGGGAAATAAAAAAGAAATGTAAAATAAAATGAGACTAAGTAACCTGAACAATGGAAAAGTAAATCAACACCAATATAAAATAAGTATGCCTCATCGTCTGCTGCTTTCAATGGCCCAAAGCTTTATGAAATACAGTGCTTGCTTGGCTTGGATTTGGAAAAACATGGTGTGCCTAAATTGTTATTTTTTTCAAATACAGATATGCCTAGAAAAATACTCTAAAAATTCAGCAGTTCTGGGAATACGCAGACCAAGAAAAAAGAAAATTGTGCTAAGAGGAATCTTTGCCAAGCAGAGAGTGAGTGCAGGGCTTGCCAATTGTGTAATGCGTGATTGAAGGCGACAGCACTTGCAGATATTTTAGAGAGCACCAGATCATGAACGAGCGGCAACTTGGAGGAATTCCCAGAAAACAAGAAGCAATTGCATTAATAAATTGCAGGGTGTTTTAGCAGTGCAAAAGGTGACATCTGAGGAAGAACCAGCTGAAGGTTGCAAAAACATGTGGCTGCTGAGTCTTTGGTAAGAAGCAGCAGAGCTTGGGATGGGCTGCACATCTGGAGTTGCACATCTGGTGCTCACTGTGGGGCAAATCCACATGGCTTCAGCAAGCTGTCACCCAGGAAAGCGCCAGCAAAACTGGGACCGGAGGAAATTGCTGGTGCCACTGGGTGCTGTCCTCTGCCTGAGCAGCATCTACCTGGCCGTTCCCTGCCCTGCCTCTGCCAACATGATGCAGGTTAGATTAAATATCTAGGCTTTGATCGAAACCAAGCCTGCCCTGGCCCGGCACCACCCAGCAGTCCCACTCACGAATGGTTTTTAGTTGTTAGTAAACCAGGAAGGATGGAGATTGGGCAGATCGCAGGCAGGTATACCTGCAGGGGGGCAGCTATGAAGGGGAGTTTTCTGAGGTTATTGGATGCATGGCATGCATTGTGTCCCTGCTCCTTCCCTGGCTGCTTTCAAGGACTGGGTCGGGAAACCTCTTCCAGGTGGGACTCAGGCAGGGGCCCTCCTTCAGCCCTTCCTCCAGCTGCTTCCCTGTTTCCCTCACTTTCCTCCTCCAGCTGTGCTGGGCTGCTAGTGTCCCTGCTGTAAATCTACCAACTGCCCAGCAGGCTCAACCAGCGGCTCAGGGCATGCTGCCTGAGAGAAGGAGGAAGAGAAGGAGGAGGTGATGGCCCTGGTGTCACGCTGCTGGCATGGCTCAGCACACAGGCACGGGAGCTGGTGCCATGGTGGGCAGTAGTGGTCTCCAAAACAGGATGAGGCCCCTATGGCCAACAGGGCTGTACTGGGCTGTCTGCTCAGATGGACCCACACAGGAGGCCAGCATCCACACATGGCCCCAGCCACAGCAGGAGCTGCCTAGCCACGTGTTCAGGCTGAGTCCGGTTTACATCTGGGCTTTGGGGACGGAATTTGAAATCTCTCCTGAAGAGCGTAAGCAGCAGATTTCATTTGCCAACACCACAGAGGTATTTAGTGGGACCATCAAGAGCTCCCAACAAAAAGCCATGGCTGCTTGTGTCCTTCACTCAAGGAAGGAAAGCAGAGCAGCATCGGAGGCCTCTTCTCCTCCACCAAGTTCAGCCAAGAGTGGCCAATAGGTTGAAAACTCCACAGCAAGGGACAGATGGATGGACACACACATAAACCAAGCCAGGCAGGGTCCCACTCAAGGGGGACAGTCTGTTCTCCGTGCCGCAGTAGCAGCTGGGCATGACAGCAGACTGGGGAAGCACAGCATCCTCCTTCCCTGCCCACGTCAAACCGCGTGAAGCAGAAACGATTTTGCTGCCCAGTGACACTCCTGTGCCCTTACCAAGGGCCGGGCAGAGTGTGGTCTCCAAAACATTCAGCTTTATTTTTTCCAGTTTTGCATGGTAGTTTACAAACATCCAGCAAGAAGAAAATCAGGATCATTAGATATTCAGGGGAGGGAGGAGTAGGAAGAGAAAGAAGCGGCCACCCATTAAAACATGCCCCTTTTTAACATCTCACCTCTACTAGGAAAGTATCCAATTATTTCTTAAATGACCCTGATATTTTTTGCCTCGGCCTCCTTGCCTGGTTAGCCATTTCACATATTTATTATTCTTTGCATGAAATAATACTTCCTGACATCTGGTCCCAGTTTGTTTCTCTTCAATTTCCATTTATAGCACATTTTCCTATCCTCTGACCATGTTAAAGTAAAACAATAAGTATGTTTGAGATGGTGCAAGTTACTTAAGATCATGATCCTTCCCTGACCTTGACTTTTTTTTAAACATGCTCTAAAACACAGAAAAAACATTTTAATGAACTTTGATGAAAAAGTAAGTGGAAAGATCAGAGAATGGGCAACCACTCAGCGTTTCACACCCATGCTGGCAGCTGGTTACCTGGGGACTGGCGTGAGGATCGGCTGGTGGTTACAGCCCAGTTCCACTCTGACGAGTATCAGCTGGAGGCAGATGGGGAGAGCTGTGGGCTCGGCAGTCCCTGCACGAGACGGAGGGGAGAACCAGGTGGCTGTAGGAGATGAGGTAGCAGTGGGACAGGCACAGGAAAGGAAATGTTAATTCCCAGTGTGGTGATACAAATTGCCTTGGGTGATGCTTTCCGTCCTGACCAGGCAGATGGGAAAAGGTGCCCTTCTCTTGCTCTGAAAAGAGAGTTTGCTTCCAAGTACAATCTGGCAGCTCCACAAGCAATAAATTCACAAGGGGAAGCAATGAGGAGTACTTTAGTTACGGCACAAGAACATTTTATGTTGTCACCTCTACCTTGGTACAAGCCCTCAATATAATTTTAGCTCAGGAGGAGGTGGCTTATGAAGCTAAAATAAAATGGAAAGAAACAATGTAGCCTCCAACCAAACGTGTGTGCGTGCCTTCCTGTTAAGTGACAAAGCAAAACAGCGAGCCCGTGTCATCTCCAGCTGGTCCATCACCATTTTATGGACTACCAGGCAGCTCTCCAGTAGTATCACGTAGTATCCAGTAGTATCATGCTCCATACAAGCATTAGCCTGCTCAGAACAGCCCCTCCAAGTCCTCCTGCACTGATAAGCCAGTAAGCGTGGTTATACATCCTGCTGCGACAAAGCTGACAAGGTTGTACCCCTGAACAGAAACATCTGAAACTGAAAACATTTCTGCTCAGTCCTCTTCAGCCGGAACCTGCTCTGCAGTTTGGCACTATGGCAGACAGATGTGGGTGCCTGTGACAGCCAAGAGCCACAGCAACCTGGGCAGTTCGGATCATGGTGCCCTGTACATACCTTATCTGCCTCTCAAAATTTTCTTCACACAACTATTTTATCGATAGGGCTTTAACCTGCCAGGTTGCCAAAGGCGTTTTCCCTTTACCTGAATTCCAAGCTGAACATGCACATACTAGAAACCCTGGGTTTAACCTGGAGCTTCCTGAGGTCAAGACAAACATCGTGACAAACAGGACTAAGAGCAGCCAAGTTAGACCGTGCCCTGACAAAGCACCGTTCTCTCAAACACACTGTGCAGCTTGGCGCCAGGGCTGCACCACTACAGTTGAGAGCTGGAAGGTCTTTGGGAAGCAGGTCAGAAGTGGCTTTGAAGGCTCGCCAGCAGGTTGCTCAACACATGCAGAAGGGCTGCTCCTTTTTGGAAACCAGCATCACCTCCCACCACCCAAGAGATGCTCCCCTGATTGTCCCCTGGCTCCCCATGGAGTCGGGTGGGTGTGACTGAATGGGTTGGCCACCTCATGCCTTGGGAACCATTTAATCCTCAGCAGCATAGAGGCTCACAATTACAGAAATGTACGTTTGTGTCTCTGCTCCCTGAACTCGCTGCACTTCATCTACTCTCCTGGGCTTTAAGCTCGAAGCAGGCAGAGTTCATGCGGGTGTATTTGTCCTACATAGCCCATGGTCTGAAAGGATAAACATGAGTCCCCCCTAGTCTGCCTGTTCCTTCTGCTCACTTCTCCCCTGCCACAACTGACCAATTTACCTTTGCTGTTCATCCAGCCCAGTATTTACAGCATCTGGAAGACTTAAAAATTGATTGAGGGGAAAAAAAGAGAAAAGCTACACTAAACTCGAAGGCCTGATTATGCACAGCTTTATGTGAACAACGCCTCCACTGCCTTGAAGAACAGGCCTGGAGGATGGGTTGGAGAAAGCTTCACAATGTAACTTAGCCCATGCTTGGTTGTGAATGTGCGGTACAGTTGTAGCTGGGATTCAACAATCATTACCTATTTTACATGCAGAAACAGGAATTATGACAAAGTACCGAGGGTCATTTGTTTTCTGAGTTGCAATCTCTTTATTTGGTTAAGTGGTCTGAGTCAACAAAGTCATACTCTCCTCTATCTCCGAGAGTTTCTTCAGCATCTGGCTCACCTTGGCCTCATCAAACTCCAGACAGAGAAACTCTGATTCCTACAAAACAAAATTGCAAGAACAATAGTTGAGAAAGATAATGGTTTTTCAGGCTTACAATGGAGGCAGGATAGCGAGTTCTAGTTTCCTGACAATTCGTGTCCCGTGTCTCCTTTTTTCCTGGTACCACTTAAATAACCTCAGTAGACCCAGAGGTTGGCTATACACCTACCGAGCAAGAGCAGTGCATGCTGGCAGGCCAGCCAGCAGTTGCCAAGGACGACACAGGAAAGCTGAGCTCTGCCTGCCTTTCAATGTAGGCATCAGTTTGGGTCTCTCCTTAGCTGCAGACTTTTGCAAAACTTGTAGAAATTTAATTATATCTGAGACTTCCACTTTTCTTTCCAATCTGGTGATCCCCAAAGCATTGCTGTGGATGCTGGGAACTGCAAAGTGGTTGGAGCCACTGCACAAAGCTCGTCACATATGAAAAACAGATTTTATACAGGGGAAAACAAGAATCCAAAACACAGTCTTGTACAGGACATTCCGGTCTGGAAATTCAGGAGAGTTTTATATTCTCTTACGCATGGGCTCTAGTGTCAATATAAACTTAGAAGCAAGTTAAGAAGCAGCACTGATTTGCTCTGAAAAGTCCTGTCACATCTTAAAAAAATAGTTATTCTCTGACAAGATGGATATTGGGATATAGTAAAAGGATCTTGTCAAAGGCCAAGAAAATAAAGAATATATCTAAATAAATAAAGACTATATATATGTGTGTGTGTATACGTATAAAAAAAGTTCAAATGATACAGAACTCATTAATAAACACCAATGTGAAAAGGCCTCCTGAGATCTCCAGTCCATTAGCCTTACCTACTGGTATGTCTATAGTTGCAAAGTATTTCCTATAGTGAGTCTGGCAGAAGAAATGTTTGAGATTGCCAGGAGTGCGACTGTGTACTAGAAGTCATTCCAGGTGAAGCACCATCCATGACAGAGAAACAAATTGAAAATATTTGAAGAGGAAAGTGCAGCCAGTATGGAGGGAGGTTGCCTTATGAGACACTGGAATAGTTTTAGCAATCAGAATCACTGTATATCCACTGAATTTCTGTATGTAACACAGACCCTGTGGTGCTTATAAAAGCAGAAGGGCATCTCCAGATCTCGTCTGTTTTCTACCAGACTAAAATTTCTATCATTATTTCAAAATATGTTTTTTCCATACAATTAGCATCTAACCAAAACACCACAACTTCATTGTTTACATTTATAGAATCAATAGTTAATACACAGGGATAAGATCATCGGACAAATTAAACTCACCAACTTCTACTAACCACATTTTAGGACTGTTACAAGTGTTTTCCCCCAGGCATCTGGAACAGTTTTACGTTTTACCCTCTCTCATTCTCCCAAGGATTCATGGATCATTTCATTTTTTGGAAGAACCAAACCAGCAAGTGAGATACGAACCAAAATGTTCACAGAAGAAGCAAGGGGATCATTTTGTGTGCAATTATCACAAAGGCACTGCCAGAAGAATGCTAATGGGAAAGAAATGAGGTGCCAGAAGTCAGTGATCAGGAAGCCGAGCATGTGGAAGCGCATGGAAAAGTTGTGCCAGGGCTTCTGCCCGGACATCAGTCATACAGGGAACTACCACAGTTCAAGGCAGAAATTAAAACAGTGATTTAAACCTTAAAACTTGAAACTTTCTAAGAAAGAAGACCTTGTAAAATGAGAGTGGCATGCACTTTAAACTTTTTTTTGTCTTCAAATATCACTGTCTCTCCCCTAATGCTGGTACTTAGGTGCAATTATGCTCATAAACAGCATCCTATTGGAAACTATTACTGTAGGTTGTGTTTTGTTTTGTTTAACATTAATTGTTCATCTTTATAATATTACTTAGTACATTCCAAAACATCACCAAAGTAGCATTAAACATTCAGGATCAATAACACCACAGATAAGAAATCTAGGACTTGGAAGAAAGGGCTCTCTCGCACTGTTTTTCTTGTCCTTGACAATGGTTATTGACACATCGTACGGAAAATACCTCGTATAAAATATCTCTGCAAGCATAATTACAGAAAAGCATAATTACAGCTGGTCACTGTGCAGAAAGAAAATGTTTGGTGAGGAATTTGACAGCTTAACTCCATTTGGCAGTGGGCTTTCTTGTATTTTCCTGTCTGATTAGGAGTGCCCTGAAAAAAAGCTAGGTTGGATCTGCCTGAAGATGTGTTTGCAGGAGATTGCATGAGAAAGCCTGAACGAAACCCTGAAATATCTCTCTATACATTCCTCGATTAGGAAGCACTGGGAAAGTCAAATCTCAAGCAATCCGTTATTTAAACCCTGAGGCTTTGTGAAGCATTGTGCTGAAACCAGATCACAGACCTTGCTGCAGTAAACCATTCTCCACTGAAATGAGCGGAAATGGGCAGCGTCAGCCCAACCGGTGCAACTGCTGCAAATCGGGACTGCAAAGCCAATGCCTCTTCAGCTCCGCCAGCTAAATCCCTCTAGTTTTAGCATCCTTGTTTTCCCAGACCTGACCAGAAAGAAGTTTTGAGCTCTCTTTCACAGAAGAGCTACTGCAGAAGCAGAAGCTTTTCTCACCAACCTAAAATCATCCCAATATCTGTAACACATTTTAAGTCTTGTTTCACAGATAACATCTGAAAACAGCTCTTCTCTCCATACCCTGACCTCTTTCTTCAACACGTGTGCCATGGCCACAGCCTGATTTCTATCTTGATCTTTTCCCTAAAACGCGGTGCCATGCTACGCAGCCCTGGGTCATAGTCCTCGACAGGACAAACTCCAAGGCCAAACTCCTGTTGACATCTGTGGCTTTCCAGCCACAACTGTGCACCTCAAGTCATGGGAGCCCATCAACAGACTTCCCCAGGCCAGGGTCTGCCCATGACGCCTTGAAGATCTGCATAAGCTGATTTTATGGCTTAACCACATAGTGAGTGTGAGCCGACAGGAGAAGACCGAATGTCCCAGCTCTGGTGGAGATGTTTTTGCATGAGCCTAAGGCATAAGGAAGCTTTTTTTTTTTTTTCTTCTTCAGGTTTTGTCAGTTAAAAGGAATGTAAATGGAGCAAAAGGACGCTCTTTGATTACACTAAGACTCTGCATGCCACTTTACACAAGTGTAAGTGTACTCATAAAGCATGTTTTTATCTCTAAAACAGCTAAAACTTTCCTATGTGGACTGGATGGTATTTAAATAGTTATCACACTTTCATGTGGACCAACATAAAACATGATCAGGAGGGCTGTAAATCAGGCTGTTCAGAATTGGGCTTTAGTTTTATTTAATGCTTCGTTAGTTTATATTCTCCACAAAGTTCCAAATAAGGAGAAAAAAGAAAGAAAAAAGAAGATGGAGCTGTGAAATTAAAACTTTCCATCGCTCCCCGAAGGTGTCCTCCAGGAGCAGGATAAATTTGGTATCTCTGCTCCTTCTCAGCAAGAAACAAGGCATCACTTTTAATACTTGCTATTGTTATAGGAATTTTCAGCCCACTTGTATCTCTTGTAGTTAAGCAAACCCAAAATGGAATGAGTCGTTCATTAAAAATAAACCCAGAAGCCATCAAACTAGAACATCAACAGGCTACCAAACACTTCTTATCTGAAGCCACCAAACACACAATGACAGCACCATGAGCCCCTTCACGGGATGGGGACCGGCTGTGGTGAATACTTCATACCCAAAGCATGAGTAGCAGTGCCTTGAAGCCCTGAAGCACGGCACACTTGCCTACCAGACCGAAATCTGGACTTCAGCTGAGCCCTTCATGGCGATGGACGCAGCCTTTGGAAAAAAGGCGTGTGTATGCGCAACAAGCGGGGTCAGTAGAGCATGTCTGTGTGCAATGGGAACGGCACGTGCATCCCCATCTTCAGGCTGGAAAGCCAAGCTCGATGGTTTCAGAAAGGTGTGGGAATGGATCTCCACGTCCTGCGACTGTCTTGGTTTTCTCCCCACATGCTTTCCCACCCCTCCTCCCACTTCCCTCCTGAGCCTGGGCTATAAAAAGGCGCTGCAAAACAAACATCCAAGAAACACAAACTCCCCCCAGTCATGAATTAGGTCTTCTAGGTTTTTTTCTGTTTCAGGAACAAGAGAGAGGTGCAAAAATATTTATATGAGAGACTAAGAGAAGCACAACTTTCTTTATCTCAGTAACCACACTTAAAAAACCATGCATTTTTAGAAAACCAATCCTCACACATTCAAAACTTAAAAAAAATACAACTGTTCTCTACCGCATCAGTTTGACCAGCTACTTAAAATGGTTCCCAGCATTTCTGATACATCTAGTATTTTTAAGCTTTGGCCATTATATTGGAAAAACAAAAAAAAAACCCCTCTGAATTCATGTATCATTTTATTCATATTCATTTTCACTTTATTCGGAGACCTCCTACAACACTCAGCGTTCAGGGAACTTGGTCACTGCCAGGACTGCAATGTAAGTTGGCGGTAAATTTGCTTTGGATCACGGAGTGTCTTGACTAAGGCTCGTTCCGCAGGCCGGGGCGGTGGCTTGGGGCATCTCCTGACGCAGAAGTGAGGAATTCAGCTTTGTTAGCAAACGGTGGTCGTGAGGGAGCGCTGGTACAGGTGCAGTCAGTGGGGTGCCATGCCTCACGCTCGCTGGCCCAAGGACAGTGAAGGTTGCTACATGCAGATATTTGCCTACCCAGGTGGAAACACCTCAAAAAAAGCTTTGAGAGAGGTAAGGAGAACCCCCTGCCAAGGGGTAGGAAACAAAAATTGCTCAGCAACTACACAAGACGCCAAGGTGTTGACGACAGCCTTAACAACCTACAACCCAGGTGGGCTCAAGGGACCGGGGCTTCCTTCCATTAAGTCAGAGGAGTGCCGTCAAACAGAGAGCTGGCCAGCTACCAGGAGAGCAGGTCTCCATTGTTCAGTGGAGGTGTCACGAGCAAGGGGAGAGGAAGCCAACTCCACCTTCACATAGGGAATGCTCTATGGCGTTCGAGAAACTGAGACAGAGAGA